ACACATGCAGTGACAGCTAAAGCATAGCGTGGACAGGGGTGGCAGCATTGGCCAGCTTGTGGGGACAGTACTGTGGGGCTGCTCAGGGACAGAGCCCAGGACCGTGCTGTTTCAGATCCCTCAGCCCTGCTCCTCCTAACACAAAGGCAGGAAAGAACCTTGCGAACTCAGAAATGATTTCACCCAATCTGGATAGTTTTCTTCAGCTGTGGTGGAAAATGTGCCAAGTGCTGTTTTGCAATTAATTAAATATAACTGAAGGAGTGCTGGATGAGCTGGTGGAGATGATTTGGGGGAAATGGGATAGCCTAGCAAACATAATCCCTGCTAAGAACCTGAAGCCTGGACTTCCAGAAGGGACAGGTTGCTGGTAAGCGAGAGGCCCCAAGAACAGCTTTGGGCCTGAAGATCCTTTGTATAGTTCTGCTTTTATAGGGACAGGTACAGATTATTACTCAAGGTCTTTTCTGTCTCCTGCTATTGTAAGTGTATTTGTTTTCTCTCTCTCTCTCTCTCTCTCTCTCTCTCTCTCTCTCTCTCCCCCATCCCTTCCTCTTTTGTAGCACCTCTCTGCTTCAGTACAGCTTGGCTTTTCTGTCTTTGATAGTGTGTGAAAGACTTTGTGATTGATGGCAGTCAAAGGTGGGATTGATTTGTGAACTTGAGGTTCAGCGTTAAGCGGAGAAAAAGGAAGAGGGCGTTTTGCTTCTAGGAAACTGGACCTTCATAGAGGAAGTGAAGAGGAAGAAAAATAAAGCCTAATCACAGCAGCTAATGTTAATTAAGCATCTCCTATTTGCCAAGCTAAGAAATGTCTACATGGTGTTTAACTGATAACATACCCCTAACAGGCTTGAGAGACAGATGAGAGAACCTGGAGTGACGGAGTCACTTGCTTAAACTCACCCAGCCCATGTATGATGGAGTGGGGTTCACTGAGCTCTGTCTCCCTACACCCTACGTTCTGTTGCCTTTTGGGGAAGCTGCTGTTGAGTAATGTAGCTCATGGATGAGAAACGCTATTGAGGACTATGAGAAAAGATCCAGACCCTCCTCTGCTAAAAGAACTACTAGCCTACTGGTGGCACTTAAGAGAACTTCATGACACATCTTGGTTATGAAAGGCAGGTGACATTTGATGACCCTAAGGTTAGGTAATAATGGGTTACTAAACCTACCTGGTTGTATTCAGAAGAAAATATTTGGCTATTGGAAAAAGAAAGTAGAATGTATTTATGCAATTCTTGATCAAGGGAGATAAGTAGCTGCCCACCCCTCTTTTTAAATCATGTTTATTTAATTTTGAGAGAGAGAGAGAGAGAGCACGTGAGCCAGGGAAGGGCAGAGAGAGACAGGGCAGAGGATCTGAAACAGCCTCTGTGCTGACAGCAGCAAGCCTGATGTGGGGCTCGAACTCATGAACTGTGAGATCATGACCTGAGCCAAAGTTGGACGCTTAATCAACTGAGCCACCGAGGCACTCTTAACATTTATGCAGTTCTTAAATCATTGAATAAGAAAGGGGGAAATCCTTTAATTCAAATCAGTTATACATTTTCCTCTTCTGTTAGGGCAAGTGTGAGAGAAAAGGAGATGGTGAGAAATCCAGGGGACCGGAGGGCTCCTGCCATTCTGAGGAACTATATCACAGTATGGCGTGGATTCTTGGCAACTTTTTTTGAGAAAACAGCAACAGCTTAAGAAGATTTGGATGAAGGCTGTTATACTGATTAAAGATTAGAAGATACCCCATCAGGGGCACCTGGGTAGCTCAGTCAGTTCAGTGTCCAACTCATGGTTCATGAGATCAAGTCCTGTGTCAGGCTCTGGGCTGGCAGTACTGGGCTTGCTTGGGGTTTCTCTCTCTCTCTCTCTCTCTCTCTCTCTCTCTCTCTCTTTCTCTCAAAATAAATAAATAAACATTAAAAAAATTCTTTAAGAAGATACCCCATCAATTCATGGAAATTACAGGACACTCATTTCAGTTATTTGAAAAGTATTTGTATTTCACACACTGTGGACTGATCCTTCCTCTTCCCGTCCATCTTGGTATTAGTGTTCTTCCTGCGATTTAGAATTTTTTTTTGCAGGGTCCTCTTCAGAGGAAGTTACTTTGTTGTGTTTGGTCTTTCCCTTTTCTTTCTCTGCATCCTGTCACTATCCCTTCCTAGTCCTTTGCATGGTCTCCAGCACTCTGAGACTCGAGTGGGTTTTCCTTAGGTGACTAAGGCACCCATCCTGAGGAGGTGTTGGATGTTTGAGGTACATCAGCAAGCCAGGGGGAAGGTGAGCCCACTGCTGGCGGCTTTCTCCCTCCTGCCGCAAGGGGTCTCCCCTGTCTTTGGGCTGTGGCCTCAGGCAGGGGTTCTCACATTCTTTTCCAGCCTCTCTCCCGCTGGCCAAGAGGGACCCTTATTCATACATGGCCCCCTGTCAGGAGGGGTGAACTTCTACTCCCTGTTACCAGACAGAAGCCAAACTCCTGGCTTCATCTGCTTGCCATTTTGTGTTTGCTTTGCTTCTGGTCCCTGAGGATTTATTTTTCCTATCGTTGTGTCTGGAGTGCATTGGGTATTGGAAATATGAACACACGACATTATCCTTACCAAGAAAAGAGAGACCTGTTTCAACTATGCATAAGAAACAAATTTCCAATTTAAATCTACCTGAAAGAAAGTAGACAGATTTGTGAGTACAGTTCATAAGGGGGAGACAGAGTGATCATCTCTTAGAAAAGTTGTAAAGAGATTGCCTTCTTTATATGGGATGTTGAGTTCGAATTTCTAGAGTTCCATTGCATTTCCGAGTCTCTAGTTCTCAGGGCTATTTGCATCTGCAATCAGTGACCCCTGATTGTTGGGATTTCTGAGTTTTCATGTCTTGTAGTTTACTAGAGGGATCTGCTTCTACTGTGTTTGTGCACAGGTAGCTGAGCAAGAACGGTATCTAGCATAGTCATCAGATATATTTTAGCATCTGACTCTTTTTCCCCTCACACTTCAATAGCAAGCTTTGTTTGTACTGTGTGTAAGACAACTAAGAAAGTGTTAGGTCAGAATCTAAGAAGTTGTCTGGGAGGGAATTGCCCAGGGAATGGAGGGATTTTTGGACACTTCTTTAGATCTGGATTTTTAGTTCACCATATTGGGTGAACACGGGGGTATGCCTTTCTAGAAGGTAAACACAATTTCAGGCTTCTTGATGGACGGTCAAGTTTTACATCCTGGAAGGAATACTGTGGTAGCGAAAGGATTTTAGATGGAGTCAAGAGACCTGATAAGATCATGACATTGACACTCCTAATTATCTAGCCTTGAGCAAATTGCTTGACTTCTTTGCACCTCAGTTAATAAATCTGCAAATTAATTGAATTGGTTTGAGCAATTTCTAAGGTTTCTCCAGCATTCCAGAGATTCCAAAAGTATATGCCTCTGTCTTCAGCATGGTCAGGCCCTATCTGGAATGGGGTTTGGGTCTTTGCTGAAAGGCTCTCTGTCCCAGAGTGGCTAAGAGGTCAGCCTTGGGGTTTAGCATACCTAATTTTGAATGCGATCTGTACTACATAAATGGTATGATATTACCACAGTAAGGGTATGATATTACCAAGTTTTGGCCTCCTTATCTATTACATGGAGATGAGACTTCTACCTACCTTACAGAGTCATTTTGAAGTTTAATAAGAGAACTTTGCTCAGAAATCAGGACATGGAAAGCAGTGATTGTCTCTCTCCTTGTTCCTTGTAAGCTCCTTGGGAGCAGGCATCCAGTCTAACTTACCTTGTTCCAGCTCATTCATCTTATTTCAGTTACTTAGTTCTGTGTTTTATATGTAGTGTGCACTACATATACTGTTAACGTACTATTAAAAAAATAAAATAGGACTCATACAAATGTAGAATGAATGCATGTCAAATTTATTTAGTTCTTTGATGAAGAGCTTAGCTCAAATTTATTTAGCTCCTCGCATCCAGCAAGATGATAGAGTTGACTTATTGGAGAAGTAGAGGGAAAGGATTATGTAGTTTATTCCAAAACAATTTTTCTAAATGTGAGATAAAATTGGTTTATGGCCATATGGGGGAATAAAACCATAACCTTTAACATAATCTTCTATTCTCGACCTTTGTGTATCCACAGGACAGAAATATTCCAGTTAGCCTACAGTTATAAAGTTCTTAGGCCTGTAAAATGCCACCTTAGTAGGACTTTGTGAGGATATGCAAGTTTCTTTTTGCCATTTCCAGGTTTTGGGTAATTATTCTAAATAGTTGCAAGACCAAACCTAAAGTATTATTTATCTTAGAAAAAGATTAAATGGGAATATGATTCTAGTATATAAGTATCTATTTTCTGCCTGAACTTATAATAAGTACTAGGACCATGCATAATTATGTTTTCATAATGTTTCATTACAGAGAATATGGGGATCATTAGGAAAATGCTACTAATTTCTAAGATGGTGTTATGGAGGGTAACCATTTAATTAGTGCTTACATAGACCATATTAAGGGCTTTATATGCATTTTAGTTTAATCTGTAAACAGTCTTGTGAGGTAGGCATTATCTCCATTTTGAAAATCAGGTAAATAAATCTCAGTGAGGTTAAATAATTTAATCAAGATTATGTAGCGAGTGTGACCAAAATTGAAATTCAGTCTGATTGTAGGTCTTGTATTGTCTCCAATGCCTATATTGTAAACCTCCCCAGATTTTAAACTGTTCTAAATTTGAAGGTAGATCTCAAGTTAAACATACAGATGAGTGGGTCCAGTTTTGCTTATATGACAGCATGAACAAAATGGTCCTTCTCCCTTTAGGGACTCACCATTTTGAAACCGTTTGAGATAAGTGGTCTGTTTCTTGACTACCAGATTAAATCGTACATATTTTAAAGAAAAATTAAACTATATCATTTGCTTTTTAAAGCTTCCTTCTCTCAGGTTGTCTTTGTAACTTACCTATCTTTCTCATATCTCTTCTGGCCCCCGAAATGTCTGTAGGTGGGCTGGATCCTTTCTATTCTGGATGAACTGCAGCTGAGCCCTCAGCCTCCTGTCGGGGTCCTTCCACTGGGAACTGGGAACGACCTGGCTCGAACTCTCAACTGGGGAGGGGTAAGAACTGTTCTCAGGGACCACCCAGGCCATCAAGCAGAAGGGTCCCTGAATCCACAGATGTTCTAACGGAAGGGGAATATGCTACTGTTGTCCAAAGAATAAGTTAGAATGGAGAATTAGGGTGCCCCTGCTTCATGGTTTTATCCGGGACCTTCTTCAGTTCAAATTTAGAATCATCTAGAGAAGAAAGTATGGTATAAAAAATGGGGGTTAGTACACAGGCCTGGGGCTTCTTGAGGTATCCATTGAAAGGTGGTGGGTGGGTTGGCCTCAAGTCTTTATGCAAAACAAGCACACGGACCCGAATTGATCCTGACCCTCAGTCTTGGCCAGAAGAGTAAATCTGGTTCAGATTACAGTCCTTTGTTTAAGAGAGTTACGGGTTTTATTGAGCATTTTGTTTTTCTGCTTGGTGTCATCATGGCTTTGTGAAACAGATAGCCAACTGTCCTTCCCACCATACGGCCAACTTTAGTTAAGCTTAGTGGAAGACGTTTACCTGTCACTCACCAGCTTTTTTTATTAACATTTTTACAGTGTTAAGATAGTAAGGAGGCACAATATGCTAACATATGCAGCCCCACCAGCTTTTTATCTGCTCATATGAGAGATTGGACTGGGCTCCATGAAAATTCTCTTCAGATATTAGCAGATATGAAATTGACCTTTGGGTGAATTAACCTCCATTAGGTGATAATTCTCTTCAGATATTAGCAGATATGAATTTGGCATTGGGTGAATTGACCTCCTACAGTGAGCATAGTATAAATGATAATAAATTAGTTGCTTCATGTAAATATATTTATCACTGTTGACTCCTCGCATCCAAATCAGAGACTTGACTGTCCTTAATAATCATGCTGCCAGTAAATACATGCTCAAGTAGTAAGTGGTTGCATAATAGGGCTGTGCCTCAGACAGACTTGCCTTCAGCCATGGAAAGAACGGTGTCCCACTGCAAGGTTAGGGAGGTGAAGTGGAATGTTAATTGAAAAAGTTGTCTCTCATATGCCACCTGGATTCCTTTCCTCCTTTTCCACACATACTTGTCCTATGTGTCTCTCAGATTCCTCTAGTAGGAGACCTGGGGAGTCCTCTTGTCACTCTGATGGAAGCAGCCATCCAGCATGGCCCTCAAATGCCTACCGGTGACTACTGGTTCCTGGTGCTGGCAAAAATTACTCAGCTCAAACCAGTTAGAGCAGTATCTCTATGCACGTTACCTGTGACTTTTGTCTTAGATTCTAAGTACTTCAAGGAAAACAGTTTACTTTCCCAGCCTTGCTAATCGCAAAATAAACAGAGCTACAGCAAAAGGGCTCTTGCTTGCATGAAATACCTTTGGCTGTACTGTTTGCTACTCCAGATGGCAGTGGGTATATTTTTTGATTCCTTAGGGCTACACTGATGAACCTGTTTCGAAGATCCTTTGCCAAGTCGAAGATGGGACAATTGTACAGCTGGATCGCTGGAACCTCCACGTGGAAAGAAACCCAGACTTGCCTCCAGAAGAACTTGAAGATGGTGTGTGTAAGGTGAGAGAGCTCTTTCTTCAGCAGAGAGGAACCCTGGAGCATGTGCCTGAGTGACAGGAAATGCGCTCCTGGCTGGAGAATCATATGCTGATTCCTTCCTATGAGATAACAGGATAATGTTTGAGTTTATGGCCACTGGGGCTAGGAGTCTAACACTACTCAATGATTCTGCCTCCTTGACTTCTAAAGACTGAGATCTCCTACTCCTTGTCTTCCACACCAGAAATACATATATTCATTTTCTGATCTCTCAAGCACTGCATCTCAGAACCTATGGGATGGTGAAAAAATATGGATATTCTGAAGCATTAGGCATATGGTTTTTTGATAGAAAGATAACCTCCTGAGATGTCTTGTCTGATACTAAATATCTCTTACGTTTAGGAAGTATTAACTGAGCCAGTTTCATCACTTGGTTGGGACTTGAAGATGCCTAAATAAATGTTTTGATTTCATATTTTTCCTTCAGTGATGAAGCTTTCATTTCCACCCAAGACATATGAAGAGACACAATTGTACACATATTAGTGCAGAGTTTTGGTGGTAAATTTGGTTCGAAGTTCCCACCTCAATTTCATATAAGTTTGACAGGTTGCCAAGTAACCTCTCCTTGCATATTACTTTCCACTTTTCTTCTATGAGAGTGTTTACAAAGCTTTTCATGCATAAGAAACTCCACATGTGTCCTTGAAACATGCAGATTATGGGGCCCAGTCTCCATCGATTCTGCTGAAGTAAATGCAGGTTGAAGGATCAGAATCTGTACTTTAAATTTTTAAAAAAATTTTTCTTATTAAATTTTTTAATGTTTATTTTTGAGAGAGAGGGAGAGAGAGAGAGAGAGAGAGAGAGCAAGGGAGGGTCAGGAGAGAGGGAGACACAGAATCCATAGCAGGCTCCAGGCTCTGTGCTGACAGTGGGGCTCACACTCATGAACCGTGAGATCATGACCTGAGCCCAGGTTGGAAGCTTAACTGACTCAGCCACCCAGGTGCCCCTAAATTTTTTTTAACGTTTACTTATTTTTGAGAGATAGAGAGAGAGCATGAGCGGGGAAGGGGCACAGAATCCAAAGTAGGGTCCAGGCTCTGAGTGTCAGCACAGAGCCCGACATGGGGGCTCAAACTCCTGGATTGGAAGATGATGCTGAAGTCAGATGCTTAACCGACTGAGCCACCCAGGTGGCTCTCAGAATCTGTACTTTAAATGACGTCTCTGCTTTATTGGATTATGCCATTGATTGAGGTCAAGATTGTCTTGGGTATTTCTTTTCTTTTTTATTTTCTCTTCTTTTCTTTAATTTCTTTCTTTCTTTTCTTTCTTTCTTTCTTTCTTTCTTTCTTTCTTTCTTTCTTTCTTTCTTTCAATTTATTGTCATGGGCATTGCTGCTTTAAAATAAATTGAACCGGCTATCCTTTTGAACCCAACCAAAATCTATTTATTTATCGACACCATGATCCTAACCAATTGTGATAAACACTCAAGTTTCTTATTTGGCTAATATAAGTGAAAATACGTTTTATCTTCTCTTCATGTTTTTTCCCCTAAACCATGATCCAGAAATTATAAGGTTTCTAGTAGATACCATGACTGCCTAGTTGATTTTTATTCATAATGTCACAATGTTGCTTAAACTGCAGGTATCATCTTGGGATATGATACTTTTTAATGTATCCGACCTATAGAAATTGGGTAGAAAATAGCCAAAGTGAAAATAATTGTATGGAAATTTAAGGTCCTTTCTCCACCAATCTTAGAATGCTTAGGCCCTCAAGAGAAATCTCTATTTGCATCTCTTCCTGACAGCTTAAGAAATGGAAAGACTCCTTGGTGCAGCCAGGAAACATTAATCCAGATAATTAAAGGGCTTTGAAAAATTGGATTTTTGAGATGTGTAGAAAATTGAGGCAATTTTTCCTGAAAAATAGGAACAAGAATTTAATAAAAGACTAAACCGGGGTATTATTTAGGGGATGGTAACCAAATGTTCTCCCGAGTTATCAGTGAATGCTAAGACATGGGTTACAATTGTAGCCAAGAAAACGTAAATGGTAGAGATGAACCTATCTGTGCTTTTGGCAAGATCACCAACCCTTGCTCTCACTGCAGAGGCTTGGTATTTTGATGAAGTGCAGGAACTGGACATGCTCAGATATGAAGCCAGGAGAATAAGACCTGATTTTGGCACTGCTCTGTGTTTATTTTCTCCCCTGTTCTCGACTCAATTGTAGCCATTTCTAAGGGGGCCGATTTGACCTCTGAATTGTTACAAACTCTGACTCGGGACCTCCCGTTGGGGTTGGGGGTGGGGAGCCTTCATTCTTTTCTTCCATTGGAGGCCAAGGCAATCTGTTTTTTTTGTGTTTTTTTTTTCTGTATTAATATCTCTTTCTGTTCCTCTCCCTCTCATTTCATTTATCTCTTAATGGGACAAGGTCCACATTCTAGTCAAACAAAATCTTGCTGATCAAGGGACGCATAAAACAGTGCAATAAACTTACTTTTGGGATCTTGAGGGTTAAACACTTATTTCTAACAGAAGACAAGTATATTTCTGTCTGGAGTCTAAACCTGATAATTATCTGGAAACATTATCCAAGCTGAGATAAAATTGCCTCTCTATTTAATTTAACATTTACTTTCCACTCTGAGCTACCGAAGGAAAAGTGGAAGAACTACAATTTCCTTTCTAGCACTTTCCACATGCTTTTCTGATTGTTCTAACATTGAAGCCTTAAAAGCACATGAATTTTGCACTTTGATGAAGGATTTTAGTTTGTATTGTCCTCTCGTTTACGGAGCTGGCATTGCTAACAACCAGGGACCCAGAGGACTCTAGGAAGGCTTGTGTATGTCCCTGCATGGGTATCTGCATGTTTCATGATCATATTAAAGATCCAAGGTCTGATAGACTGAATAGAAATCTGGATGATACTGACAAATATGTATACACGTGTATATTTCTTTCCCTATAGATCAAGGATAGCTGAATGTTTACCACTGCATAATTGCTTATGACCTATGTCAAAAATAGATTTTAAAAAACCAAAGGGTAAGCATATTAAATGTTATTCATTTTAAGTTGCAATATTAATATGGTGAACATAAATTCTCAGAAAAGTATATCCTCTGATTAAGTAGCTTGCACATGATCCTTGCAATTGAATCGACTCTCTAAGTTCGTTTAGTGAATTAATTCTTTAAAAAAATTTTTTTTAGTGTTAAATATTTTTTTAATGTTTATTTATTTTTGAGATAGAGAGTGAGCAGGGGAGGAGCAGAGAGAGAGAGAGGGAGACACAGAATGCGAAGCAGGTTCCAGGCTCTGAGATGTCAGCACAGAGCTCAATGCAGGGCTCGAACACACAGACCGTGAGATCATGACCTGAGCCCAAGTTGGACGCCTAACCAACTGAGCCACCCAGGCACCCCACTTAGTGAATCATTTTTTGTAACTTAAAAAAAATTTTTTTTACTGTTTATTTATTTTTGAGAGAGAGAGAGAGAGAGAGAGAGAGAGACAGAGCATGAGCAAGGGAAGGGCAGAGACACACACACACACACACACACACACACACACACACACAGAATCTGAAGCAGGCTCCAGGCTCCGAGCTGTCAGCACAGAGCCTGATGCAGGGCTTGAACTCACAAACTGTGAGATCATGACCTGAGCTGAAGTCGGATGCTTAATCAACTGAGTCACCCAGGCGCCCCGATTCTTTGTAACTATCGTACATGTGTTTCCTTGAGCTGAATTTGGCTCTCTTACTAATATCTGCAAGACCAGTTCTCATTTAATAATTTGTATTTGTGTCACTTGTTTCCTATCCTATTTAACATCCTTGGGAGTGTTATTTGATTTGAGCTTTCGCTAATGAATTCAAAAATCTGTGTTCTTTCTACACAAAACCTTGTCCCTCGGGTTACGGCTTCTCTCTCTCCCAGGGATTGCTCCAGAGACAGGTGCCTGGCATCAGGCTTTCCTTGACTCTGTCTGGTTACACACCACTTCACCTCTACTTTGTTCATCATTGCAGCTTCCTCTGAATGTTTTCAATAATTACTTCAGCCTTGGATTTGATGCCCACGTCACACTGGAGTTCCATGAATCCAGAGGTGAGGACAACGTCCCATTTCCATCTCCCAGGGAGGAAGTTTCCAGCAGGTGTTTTGCATGTTCCCTTCTGTTTGCATATCACCTAGGTGTTGACAGTGGGCTTCAGTGTTGCTTCATTTTAACTTTCATGGCAACCTTGGGAGCTAGCGAGATAGGAGCTTCTTTCAAATAGGTCCCTGAGACCCACTTATTTAGAGTCTCACAGATGGTAAAGGACAGCACTAGGTGTACGTTCCAGGTCTCGGACTACTAATTTTAAAGTTTGACTAGAAACTTTGAAGTTAGTGAACTACTAGGAAGTGATGAAGATTCTTTCACTAGAGTCATTAGGATCTTCACAGCTTCCGGAAACACCAGTTGTTAAAGTCCAACACTTCATATAAACCAGGGCCATTGAAATCTGGTAGCAAAAACATTCAAGTCCTCTCTGTGTGCGTAAGAGAGACAAAAGGCATTTTAGAACAATAGGGGAAACTGATAGGTGGTTTGGGTTGAAAGAAATGGTATGGTGGTGATTTGATTGGTTGCAGAGGTGCGGGGAATACCCATCGGATGAGAAAGAGGAGTGAATGAGACCCAGTAGTAGTTTCAAGGGCTAAAAGAGATGGGGTCACAATTAGGGAACAAAAGCACTTTTGAAAGAGATAAGATGAAATAATGTCAAGGAGTTAAACACTTCGTAAAAAGATTTCTCATGCCATTCAGAGCTGGGAAAGTTTAGGATTTGAGTTTATGTTTTGAATCTCCAATCTTCTGTGCTCATGCTCACTCAGTGTCTCTTCATCTCTCTCTTAAAATCTCTTCTTAGTAATATAATATGTACATCTGTGTCTTTGCCTGGATCTATGTCTGTACCTAGTCCCTTGTGAATATGTTAATATATAACCAAAATAGTGCCCGGCTACAGGTTAGTATAAGTGCATTGTGAGATAAAAGGCATAAATGAGAGGATTATTTTACTTCTTTTTCTCCAGATTCTTCAAGAGCAGAAGTGGTTTTAACTCCTAGAATTTGAAATACAGAGACCTTAAGGCTAGAATTCAAATGTTCAGATTCTAGTATTAACACAGAGAAAATTCTGATAACACTCTTAGGCACTAAAGGTCAAGAGTGAAGTTGTGGGATTAAGGGTGTTACAATGCAAAATCTAAGTGAAGTCCAAACTTGTAAGTCTCAAATTGAATTCAGGAATTTTGGTAGACTTTGCCTTCCTGCTTTCATGAGGCTTGGAAGGTCAAATGCTGTGTGAAATAAAAGCAATACTGATCAAAGAGAGAGCCATAGTTTGACTTTTCTCTCTGAAAAGTTGGTTGATTACAGAACCACAAATATCAAATACCCAGATCAGGAACACCACCACCCCCCCACCACCCTGCCATAGACAACTATTCAGATATGCAGAGTCCTACGTTAGGGACCACATTTATAGTCTGTTGGTCTCTCTGTATTTAAGGAGACTTGATTTGGTGAAGTAAATGGAAATTACTTTCCTCATTTCTTAACCCATTTTTTTTTCCCTCATATTCTTCAGGAGACTCTGGATCTGGGCTTCCTAATAAAATCCTTAAGTTTCTTAATAATACTTATAATTATCACCAATGCATGAATCTTCCAAAATAGACATCCTGGCACGAAAAGAGGCCTAAATGAGTAAGTGGCAAACAATGAGCTCATTTTAGGGAGCCAAATATTTTGTCTAATTAATCTGACAATCTCCTAATGATACACTTCCTTGTACTATGATGAAACTTCTGCGTCTCAGAGTGAAAAAAGCAGAAAGAAACGTCAAGGTGGAAACACCAGGCTTAGAATTCTTAAAGGAAAGCGATTCGTTTTTTTTTCTTGAAGTTATGGGACTATTTCATTCGAGAGAGGAGTACGCAAACTGTGGTATATGTATATGTACATCGTTTAGTATGTGTGTGATTACAAAACAATTGGTTACAAGATGCCAAGCATTGGTCTTCAAATAGTTTATTGTTGAGGCTTAGCATAGTGCTTTCATGCAGCATGAAATGGAACTGCAGTCATCTGCTCTGCATGGAAGCTCAAGCCCTTGAAAACCAACCCCTGAAGGGCTGATGGGGAGAACTGATGTTGACTGAGACAAAGGGCTGCAATATTTGTGAAGATGATAGGGAAATAAGTATTCACAAAATGCAGGAACCAGATTTGCTGGTTGATAGACCTAGACCAGAGGTGTGGACTTCTTAATATCTGTTTATCTATTCATTTTGCGTTAATTCAAAGTCATTAATTCATGATGAAAAGTATAATTACCCGTGGTGGTGGTGGTGGTGGTGGTTCTTCTTCTTCTTCTTCTGTTCTTTCCTCTTCCTCCTCCTCCTCCTGCTTCTTCTTCTTTTCTTCTTCTTCTTTTCTTCTTTCCTCCTCCTCTTCCTTCTTTTCTTCTTTCCTCCTCCTCCTCCTCCTCCTCCTTCTCCTCCTTCTTCTTCTACTTCTTCTTTCCTCCTCGTTGTTGTTGTTGTTCTTCTTCTTCTTCCTCTTCCTCTTCTTCTTCCTCTTCTTCTTTTCCTTCTTCTCACTTTTTACTGTTTTCTGTTTGTTTGGATTTTCCCCATATTTTTTACCTGGACAGTCAAGAGATCTAAGTTCACTTGCAGAAGGAAACGATAGTCTGGCCACATTTTCAATAGGTGCAGACTTTCTTATTTCATTGGTTATTCTCTTGGCTGTTCTCAAGCCAAGAACACTTAAGAGTTGAGATTTCATACTGTTCTCAAATGCAGACACTCACAGTTTGAGGGGTCATGACAAAACTTGTATCATTTGCCATGAAATAGTTGGAGGGTGACTCAAAGCCTCATGAGAGGCATTATAAAGAATGAGCTGGGTTAGAATAACCTATTAGGTATTAGTGAACACACACACACACACACACACACACACACACACACACAAGGTGAAAGGATTATTTTACTTCTTTTTCTCCAGATGTGTGTGTGTGTATTTGGGAATCATACTAATCTATCTATATGAAATGGGTCATAAATACAGATCTCACTAAGGCAGAGTCTTTATTTTTTTAAAATTTTTTTTCACCGTTTTTTTTTTTTATTTATATTTGGGACAGAGAGAGACAGAGCATGAACGGGGGAGGGGCAGAGAGAGAGGGAGACACAGAATCGGAAACAGGCTCCAGGCTCCGAGCCACCAGCCCAGAGCCCGACGCGGGGCTCGGACTCACGGACCGCGAGATCGTGACCTGGCTGAAGTCGGACACTCAACCGACTGCGCCACCCAGGCGCCCCTAAGGCAGAGTCTTTAAAACTGTAATTGCTGAAACAGTTTTTGGCATAAATGTGAAATAGCCCATCAAATAGAGGGGATAATTAAAGACATTTGAGATAGTTTCTTAGTGACATTACTGTGTAAGTGCTTTTAGAATTACTGGTAGTAAAGCAGGGAATAAAGATAGGCTTAACATTTTGACTGACTTTGTACATAAAGAATGCAAACATTTGAGTAATTTGGGTTTCTATATTTGATCAGAAGGTAGGTTTAGTTCATTTTATTGGAAGATAGAGATGGCTTCTTATTAAAGTGGCTACACCATGCACGGTTGAACTGTTGCTTGCATATCAGCAAGTGCAGTCATTTGGAACAGGATTTAGAGATGTAATAGACTTGGTAATTTAATTGTCAGTTGGAATCTTGCCTAGAACTTTAATAATTACTGCATTATGACAGTGCTTGAGGAAGTACATTGAAAATATTCCCATCTATTAATGTATAGCCATGTTAACAATGATTATGGTTATCAGGTGGCATAGTTAGGTCTCACTTTGCCAGGTAGATGAATTAGATTGTCCTTTTTTTTTTTTTGGACATGAAGGATATTCAGCACCTCAAACTTTTAACCTGAGATGTGATGCTTAAATTTTACTGCCTCACTGAAATTACCTATTCAGCAGAGTTGAACCTTATGCTTCAATGTCAGGAAAATACAGTTATGACTCTAGAGGAGGCAGTATTTAAATTTGACTTAAGATTTACTATTTTCACTGAATATACAGAAACATGCAGATCAGCATGTTTCCAAGGATCATGAATGTTTCATAAATGAACAGATTTCCTTAAAAAGATATTTTAGTGGCTTGCTAAATTTCATCATCACTGCAAAGGACATACTACCAGTCTCATGTGTAGGTACTGAGACTCAAGCACGATTTGCTCTGGAGAAACTCTCACTGTCCAAGGTTCTCTGTAAAATTATTTTCCATTTTGAATCTCTATATGGCACTCACTCTTCGTTCAAGAATCAAGTGTACCTGCCTCTGGAACACTTTTTTGATCATTCCCTTTATGTGGGACTCTGACTTCATCTGATCTGTGTATGGCATATAAAATGTGATGTTTTACTTTGATTTTCAAACCCATCTCCTCCACTCTAAACTCATGAGGGCAAAAGACCGTATCTTCTTACGTTCCCTGTGCCAAGTCTATGGCTATCTCAATAAGTGTTACAATAATGGAAAGTGCAGTTGGGAGATAGGCCCCATATATAATATAAAAGGCAACAGTAGAAAGGAAGATATAGTAAGGGCAAGATTAGTTGTATAGGCAGCAAATAATATAGGAGTTTGCCAGAAAAAAAGATATTGGGGTAAAATTTCCAGAAAGGGTAGGAGAGAGCTGAGAGATAAAGGAAGAGTGTGATATATGTAGAAAAGAGCTAAAGTTGGTGAGGGCATTTCAGACAGCATAGGGACAAATGAGCTTGTGGTAAAGATGGGTTAGGATGTCCAATTAATACATAATGAAAGATTTTTTTCAATGGTGTTAAAAAATGAATAATGTCGGTAAAATATTTGTCCTTAATGGGAGATGACATTGGAAGAAAAGATCTTTTTGGATGCATACGATTTGAATTGAAGGTGGTGGTGTTATTGTGGGCATAGATTTTGGAATCATTTATGTATACTTAGCTGAAGTCTTAAGATTAGGTACATATCTAATACAGAGAATATGGAAACTGTGAGTTCTGTGGAGTTCAAATTGCTTATTGATTTTCATAAACATAGAGTTGAACTCGTATTTATGAATATCTCCCTTAATATGCCAGACCAATTACAGACAAAAGTAGGGTTTAGGATCCTGTTCTGGTGGCACAGATATTACTGTGTTGTACATAAAGATAGGATTAATATATTAAATCAATGGAATTGATTATACCCAGAGCCATATTATCATTACAACTGGCTTATATCTAAAGCCAAATCATTTAGGTGATTTAGATGTTGAGATTTGAGAAGTTTGAGCTAATAAGATTTAGGTAAGATTTTTAGATTTCGAGTCAATTCCCTAACAGGGATGAGACCTTTGGGGACCTTGGAGACAATGAATGTTTTTCATATGGGAAGGATGTGAATCATGGGGGCCAGATGGTGGGCGATGGTAGGTAGAATTTTGTCTCTACGACCTTTGCCATTTGGTGTCATGCTTGTTGGTTAGGTTATTTTACATGGCAAAAAGACTTTTTTTAATGTTACTGAGGTTAATAATTAGCTAACCTTAAGATGGGAAGATAATTCTGGATTATCAGAGTGGGCCCAACATAATACCATGACCCCTTAAAAGGGTAAGTGGAAAGTTGAACAGGAAGTTAGAGGGATGTGGCAGAGTTGGATAGATCTGAAGTGTGAGGACTTGATGTGCCACTGCTGGCTTTGATGGTGGAGGGGATCCCAAGCCAAGGTCTGCAGGAGGGCTCTAGAAGTTGGGAATGAACCCTAGCCAACAACAGCATGGAAGAAGAACTTCATTCCTTCAACCATAAGGAAATAGATTTAGCCAACTACTGAATAAGGTCTGAAGTGAATCCTTTTTAGAGCCTCCAGAGAAGAGTCCTGAAGACTGACGCCTTGATTTTGGTCTTGTAAGACCCAAAGTAGAGGGCTCAGGAGAGCCCCGTCCAGATTTTGGCCCAGAGAATAAGAAAATAAATGATATTTTAAGCTGCCAAGTTTTCAGGAATAGAAAACTAATACAATTAATGTTGGTGTCCAGACAGGTTATAAATAGGTTAATGGCCTAGACATACACAGTGAGTGTTTAGATCTCACTTGGTTACACCCTATTCTTGTGGAAGAGGAAGACGGGCAGTCAAAGAACTTCAGCAATAAGCCACGGATACTTCCACTCTTGGAGTCTTGGTATACTTTGAGGATTATTGGCATTTCTTGAGAATGGCCTTTCATGGTTGACCTCATACCAATTAGCAGATACAACTTAAGGATCAAGAATGTTTAAACTTTCTTCCTGGCCCTGTCCCAATTCTGTATGTCCCCTTTTCTTGATACAGCTGGCGTCTATGCTCCTTGGTCCTCCTCAAAGACCTGTCATTTCTTACACATACACGTAGACATATTCAGCCACTCAACCCTTTAAGAGCCACTAAGGAATGATTAAGTACTGTTTTTTGCAAGCTACCCCTTGCTTTCGTATGGCCTGGCTTCTGCAAGGAGTAGCAAAGCTCTAAAGCTAGCTGACATCTGTCTCAGCTCCAGGCAGCCCTTGTTTCTGAGGCTATTTGGAATAGGGGAGATATTAAAATGGAAACAGGGTTTAACTGTCAGGGCAGGTTCAATCAGGGAGCTCACAGTGTGATACCATTATACTATGAGGAGAGATAACAGAATTTACCTCCACCTTTTCTGTTCTCTAGGCTAAAGCACATGTGTGACTTCCCTACTGTTATCCCTCTGACACCTCTTTAAATGCTAGTGTCTTGATCTTGTTTAGTTTTGCATATTAATTGAATTTAATCTAGGTAAATTACATCTGAAGTGACTCTTTTCATCAGCTGTGTCAATGGAATCACCAAACACTCCGTTTATTTTTTCATTTTCTTCTAGTCTGTTTGGGTCTTACAGAGCATTCTCTTTCTCTTGAGATGAAACTATTTTTTTTTTAAAGAGAAAAAAAAAAAAAACTTAGGCTCATAGGAAACCTCTTAAGAATGTGAATCTTTCCAAACCATAAATTAATGTTTTTAAAAAGTAAATGTTAATAGTTGATATATAATTTACTTAATAGCTGTGGATGTTGGTGCCCTCAAAAAACTCTGCCAGAAATGTGTGTGCTGTTTTCACTTCTTTATTATAATTTGCTTGATAGCCAGATCTGACTTTATTTCTTTCATTCTTTTTCAAATTAGGGACTATGTACCCATGATAAATTGCATAGCAACAAAAATTCTAATTTTGCCTCTGATTCCATAAAAGCAAGAAAGAGTTAACGGAATTGAAAAGGACACCCAGCCAAATCTGGGTTAAGAAAGGTAAAAGCAAGCAAGCAAACAAACAAACAAACAAAAAACCAGTGTTACTCAGTGGCCAAATTTATCCTAAAGGCCCAGACTGTAAAAAATGGTGAATTCTGGGTCCACAAATGGGGACCAGGGAGATAGAGCATTTTAGTACCGCTTTGGTCTTTTTTTCGCTTAGGATAACCTGCAAGTTAGCCTTTAACTTGTTTTATTTTGTTTCCAGGGTTTAGAGTACTTAATTCAATAGAACAGAGTGACTATTTAAGGAAAGATGTGAGATACAGAAACCTAAATATACCAAAACTCTTAGGAGCCGATGTACAAAATACTACCTTTTTTTTTATTTTTTATTTTTTAAAATTTTTTTTTTCAACGTTTATTTATTTTTGGGACAGAGAGAGACAGAGCATGAACGGGGGAGGGTCAGAGAGAGGGAGACACAGAATCGGAAACAGGCTCCAGGCTCCGAGCCATCAGCCCAGAGCCTGACGCGGGGCTCGAACTCCCGGACTGTGAGATCGTGACCTGGCTGAAGTCGGACGCTTAACCGACTGCGCCACCCAGGCGCCCCCAAAATACTACCTTTTTAAAGTTTGCAAGCTTTCACCCCGTTTCCCTGTCATGTGCTAATAATATAGTCTAATAATCATGAGAATAACCTAGTAATCCCTTGTCTTGGATTATTTCCTGAAATCGTGTAGCTCGTATTCTGCCCAATCTTAGTGAGTGAGCTCTTTGCTATTTTCTTCATCTAGACAGTTGTTGAGATTTGCTGTTCAAACATAGGCCCAGGACTTGAACCGTTTTAAGCTAGTCATCCAGCTGCCTGATGAGAAACAATTTGAAGAGAGACCTTGCCCTAAGAAGACATTAATGAGCACATGGGGTAAAATAGCAGAATGAAAAACATTGGCAGTAGGTCCCTTTGGAATGTCTCAGAATTCTACTAGAAAGAATGTAAGGAAATAATACTTCACTTAGGGATTTTATAATCCCTTGAATTCATGTCAGCGTTCTCTGATGCAGAATCTTGTTTAGCCTTTTTGTAGTCTTCAACTTATATGATAAACAGGATCAAAATCAAAATTAAACCACTTTTCAGCCTTCTGTGTCCTGAGTCCAGTTAGCAGTTCACCTGCATATATGTATATTTATATATCTCCAGTAAATCAGATAATTTTTCAAAGCCTGTTGCCAACAAGAGCACAGATGGTAGTTTGGAGTTTTAGAAAAATGTAAAAGCAAATCATCTATTACAATTTTTATCCAAATTTTCCATATTTAATTACATTTGGAAGCTGCATGAATAGTTGATAGAAGACGTGCCCTATAGAAGTCAAAGCAAATAATCACCCCTCAACACCCTCCCTGTGTCCTATCACCCCTGTCCTATGTCCCTGCCAACCCTCTATTCTGAATAAATAAATATTTATTTTGAGATAGAGAGCGAGAGTGAGTGAGCGCACCAGCATGGGAGGAGCAGAGAGAAAAAGAGAGAGAAGCCCAAGCAGGCTCAGCACTGTCAGCACAGAGCCTGACGTGGGGCTTGACCCCACCAACTGTGAGGTTATGACCTGAACTGAAATCAAGTGGAACGCTTAGCAGACTGAGCCACCCAGGCACCCCAGAGTGTCTGAACTTTTAATGTACATGCAAATCAACTAGAGAACTTGTTAAATCATGATTCCTAGACACCGTCCCCTATGCATTATAATTCAATAGGTCTGGGGCAGAGTCTAATAACTTGCATTTCTAACAAGCTTCCAATTGATGCTGATGCTGCCATTTGGGGGCTATACTTTTGTAGCACTGGACAACTTTACCAACTGGCGTATAACTGAGGAAAAGATGATAAGGCTCTTGAGTCTGATGGATCTGTGGGGTGGGGAGGGAGGGGGAGGAAGAGTGCTAATGGAGGCCATTACCTTTAATGAGGTCTCTATAACAAAACTACCTGTCTCCTTTTACAGAAGCAAATCCAGAGAAATTCAACAGTCGTTTTCGAAATAAAATGTTCTATGCAGGGGTAAGTATACATTACACTTAAAATCATTACATGTTATTTAATACTAATTCACTATTGGTAATAAGGATACTAACTATATTAAAAATAATTACACGTCTCGGATGTTTACAAGGATGTCTATATTATGCTTAAGGTTTAATGTCTTGGCTTAAAAGTAAATATACTTATTAAGTTGGTAGAAAGAGAGCTGGTGTTCATCATCTTTGAACTTTAAACCCTTAAAGCTTCATGTTGACTGAGGAGATGACATTCAAGGAGTGATGTGAAAAACATCAAAGCCAATTTAGAGAATGGGGGAGTTAGGCAGCTTGAAAGATGCGTGGAAAAGCCTGGGTCAGAATGTGGCGTGCACAGCAGTACGTATGCATCGATGTTTGAATGAGAAATTGACGGAAGGTGTAGCTCCTCATGGAAGCTTATATATGAGTAAATTGGGTCTTGTTTCCTTCTTCTCAGGAACATCCCTGGGGATGAATGGCTAGGCAGAGGGGAGGTGGAAAGTCCTCCAAAACACTGATTTTAAAGAAAATGTAGTTAATTTACACCACTGCATAGAGAGAATTGAAATGAAAGGGGAGAGGGTGAAGCCAGACATTCTTAATGGCAAGTTAAAGATGATTTCAGCACCCTATAGTCAAGTAAGAGGTCAAGAAAGGTTGTCAAAATACATCTTCAAATTGACCCTTGGAATTATCTACTCTTTTACTTTTCTACTGTGTTCTTAAATTGTATTATAGGTCGTAGTTTGAAAACAAAGAAAGTTTTCATCTTGACAGCCACTGCATTTTGTTTTGGATTCAGAAAAAAAAAAACCTTGTTTTATATTTCTGAATAATTCAGAAGCAATAGGAACTATCTGTAATACATAAGCAAGGATTTGGCATAACCATGTGATTAAGTTTATTTTTCCCCTTTTTTCTCCTTGTGGTTGTAGGCAGCTTTTTCTGATTTCCTACAGAGAAGCTCTAGAGATCTTTCCAAACATGTTAAAGTTGTTGTAAGTACTGAATGTATTGACTCGTTTCATTTGGGTTTTTTTGTTGTTGTTTTTTATCATGTATTTATTTAAATTCAAGTTAGTTAACATACAGTGTAGTATTGGTTTCAGGAGTAGAACCCAGTGATTCATCACTTACATATAGCACCCAGTGCTCATCCCAACAAGTGCCCTCCTCAATGCCCTTCATCTGTTTTTCCCTCTCCCCTCTCCCCCCCATCAACCCTCAGTTTGTTCTCTGTATTTAAGAGTCTCTTATGGTTTGCCTTCCCCTCTTTTTATCATATTTTTTCCTTCATTTCATTTGAATATAAATATGCAGCAAAAAATGTACCCCAAATACCAGGTTATGTACTTAGATTAATCAATGGGCCACATTAATTTCAGAGATGATTTCATATAGTTCATTCAACCAACATTTCTGAGAATTTAGCTCTGTGTTGGGAAATGTCTTAGTCTCGTGGATGGATGGACAGCTAGTTTCACTCCTGAAGAAACTCAACAGTTCAGTTGCAGAAATGGGCATGTAAGTCATTGCATAATACTATTTAATTAATGTTGTTGACAATGTATGCATTATGGTGGTGGCACAAAGAAGGAAACGGAAACCGACCATGGTGGGTTCAGGGAAACTTCATCAAAGTAGTGATGTCGAGCTGAGTCTTGATGTAGAAATAGATGCTCACCAAACAAATATCTTTATTCCAGGGCTATTTGAGGAGTCTCCATTTTAGAAAAACGTATTTATTTAATTATTTTGTAATGATTCCCTCTGTAGCCTGTAGCCTGGCCAAGTTTCTTCACCACTAAATGGTTGGTTAGTTTGTTTTTGGTGCTGTTTCTATCTCAGGTTTTAGACACACACTCCTTGGAGGCATGAGAGAAGGAAAGTTACCTTTTCTCTAGGAGCTATATTTTAAAATATATTATTAGTTATTAAGAAAGACATAAAATGTTTCTTTATAGTGACCAAGTTAAAAAAGGAGCACAGGTGACTTTGTTGTATATAATTGTCTAAAGAAAAAGAAATGAGAAAGAAGTGGGATATAGCAATGCATGAATTTATCATAGCATAGATAAAGAATAGGATATGTGATGAGAGGGGACAAAATAACAGAAATACATTAGAATAGAGAAAAATATATATGAGTATGGAGGGGATCAGGAGAAGGATATAAATTAAAATTTGTAATCACCATGCAGCAAAAACAGTTCTAAGAGGGAAGTTTATACCAATACAGACCTATCTCAAAAAACAAGAAAAATTTCAGGCAACCTAACTTGACATCTAAAGGAGCTAGAAGAAGAACAACAAAGCCCAGAGCCAATAGAATGAAGGAAATAACAAAGATTGGAGCAGAAATAAATGAAATAGAGACTAAAAAGGCAATAGAAAAAAGATCAATAAAATGAGGAGCTGGTTATTTGAAAAGATAAACAAAATCGAGACACTTTTAGTGAGACTCAAGACAAAAAGAGAGAGAACTCAAATAAACAAAATCAGAGATGAAGGAGGAGGAATAACAACCAACACCACAGAAATACAAAGGATTTTAAGAGAATATTATGAAAAATTATATGCCAACAAATTGGACAAGTCAGTTGAAAGAAGAGACAGAGGCTATTACCACTGCTGTCCACGACCCTTGGCATCGCATTCAGGTAATTCAGTTCTCTTGCAATAGCAGTGAAAACAAGCATCTCTTAGTCATAAAGACTCTTGAAAATGGAGGTTCTGCCTTCTTAAAGCTAGAGGCAAGAAAGACAATGGTCCACTGAGCTATGAAGCTCTTTTATTGATAAAATTATGGCTATAAAATTTAAATAGCTTAAAATTTAAGCAACCTCCCATCAAACTTCCCCTGTTTCTTCAGCTCCTGGCAACCCAGCCAAAAATAAACTTGCCCTGTTTTTCCAGTATTTTTCACACCGAGAGGAACGGCGGTGGCACATGCCCAGGGGCAGTGTCCATATTGAATGACGTTGACTGTTGAAGTCAGCTGCAGTGAAATTAAACTCTATATACTCCCTAACCACTAGACAGTTTGTTTCCCACATCTAACAGCCCCCTTGTTGATGAATGTCTCACTCCCAGGTGGCTTATATAGCAGGAATTAAAGGAAGCTTACAGAGAAGTGAAAATGGCGGCCAAGTAACTAGGGAAGATTTGATATCAGCCAGTACAGGAAAAATTCCAGGTGGATTTGTTTGTGTAACCCTATCTTTTTTGTATGGAGGAGAAAAAATATTAGAAACAAGATCTAAATGTTAGGGATTCAGTCCTAGGTCTACCTTTATGAGGTATATGACTTTGGAGGAATCATGTAATCTTTCAGAAGAGTTTGCTTTCCTTGTTTAAGACAGGTCTTTGAAACGACAATTACTGACCAGGGTGATGTATTACACAGGGACCCAGGATATTTCTATAAGGACATCACTCTATGTTTTCTTGAGTGAGAGATGAAAAGGATAGAAGATTAGCTAGTGATCCGATGTGTAGATACCAACAGACCATTTCATTTTTGCCACAGGATGAAGTCATTGTTAATCTCTCCCACAAATGTAAAGTGTTTGTATGAATACTATATCAAAAAAAGCATAGGACAGGGGTGCCTGGGTGGCTCAGTCGGTTAAGCGGCCGACTTAGGCTCAGGTCATGATCTCGCGGTCCGTGAGTTCAAGCCCCGCGTCAGGCTCTGTGCTGACAGCTCAGAGCCTGGAGCCTGTTTCAGATTCTGTGTCTCCCTCTCTCTGACCCTCCCCCGTTCATGCTCTGTCTCTCTCTGTCTCAAAAATAAATAAACGTTAAAAAAAAAAAAAGCATAGACAATAACAAAATCCTACATACAGCATTCTCTGTTCTCCTTATGATTTATCAATATGTGAACTTTTGTACAGGAACTATTTTATATGCGGATATTTTCCTTTGTGTGTTTGAAGTAGGAGAAAGTTGAAAGCTGCTGTTCTAAAAAGACACAAAATTTAAAGGTAGTAATATGTAAGAAAACTTGATAAAGCATGATACATTGTAAGGTACCCATCTTTATGTAATTTGATGAATTCCCAGAGTCGCTGATATGTTTTCCAGGAAGAAAAAGTAGAAAATTAGAAAAGATTTCTGTTCTAAATACAATAATTTTATAGTTTCTTTCTGTAAGGCAAATGATACTGCTTTGTATGAAATTAATGTATCATGTCCTATTTTTTTAAATTTTCAAATGTATATTTGTCTTAGAGAGAGAGAGAGAAAGAGAGAGAGACAGAGTGCCAGTGGGGGAGGGGTAGAGAGAGAGGGAGACACAGAATCCGAAGCAGGCTCCAGGCTCTGAGCTGTCAGCATGGAGCCTGATGTAGGCCTCAAACTCACGGACTGAGAGAGCATAACCTGAGCTGAAGTCAGATGCTGAACCCACTGAGCCACCCAGGTGCCCCATCACATCCTAGTTTTTAAAATTTTAGTTACTTACAACACTCAATTTTGATAATGTAAAATATCTTCCTTGGTATAGTCATCGTCAACTCATTTCAAGTCCTTAAATTAGGAGACTTCAGGTTTTCTAACTACCGGAGAGTATTGTAAAAACACCTTCAATCAACACCTAGAATTTGATTTCTTCCTAAGTAACATTTTAAAATGTAGTTTATTTAGGGCTAAATGTTTCCTGGAATCAATTTTTGGAGCATGCTCATGAAAATTGGGCTGTGTTAAGATCAGCCGGGAAAAGAATGAGACAATAATGCCAGTAGAATCATTGTTCTTAGATTGAAAACTCTTCTTAAAGAAATCTGTAAAAATTTTCAGGGAGCTTGGGAATACATTACTCTGCACTCCAAGGGAGAAGATGATGGGGAATTCTGTGATGAGGGTATGGAGAGAGCAAGTACAAAAGTACACCTTTGACATTGAGAAGTCTGTAGTCATGACTAGAGTTTTCTTCTTTTGACTTTTGTCACCTGTGGGAAATGGGAAGGGGCATGAAAGCCTTTTCTTTGATTAGTCAGAATATACTCAAGGCAAGTGCTAACTGGTGAGGGAAACTCTTCACAGAGGTATTGAGGCCAGGCCAGCCTGAGGCCCTTGAGACACCCAGGGTTGCGTCCAGATCCAGGGAAGCAAGTTATGTCAGGAGACCAGTCAAGTCTATAAGACATTAAATGTATAAGAGCAAATCCCTAATGGAGTTACCACTAATTTATAATAGTTTTTAAAAGCTTGCAGTATATATTCCTCTTAAGGAGTTTTCAAAAAGTTAGTGTTTAACATTTTCAAAATAAAAATTGAGCTCAGACAGCAAATAGAATAAATGATTAGATTCATCCCCATTGTTTGGGTCAGATAACTGTGGTGGAGATCACTACTGCCTGAAGTTGAGGCTTCCTTTTTTTATTTCCTTAAGGGTTCATAAATATTTTAATGTTGATACTCCAATTCAAAATACCTAATGATCCAAGGTTGAGAATGATGGCAGTTCTTTTGTTTGTGAGACCAGGAAAAAAATTGTTTTGGTCAAATGGCAGCTTTGTTTTTACATTAAAACAAAACCACGCTCTGAACCCTGGGTCTGCTAAAGTTAAAATCAGAGTACATTTTCAGTCATGGTACTGAACATGCACTTAAGCAGCAGTGGGGGCAAGGGGAACACCACATGATATATCCCATTGTGTCAACCTAGTTATCTTTTGATAAAGTTTTTAGAATTGTGACCACTTCAAACCCCCTTTTCTGCTCTGATTGTTGCAGTGTGATGGAACAGATCTCACTCCAAAGATTCAGGAACTGAAGTTCCAGTGTATAGTATTTTTAAATATACCCAGGTAAGCTCTGTTCATACTTTTTCTTTGGTTTTATGTGAGCTCTGTTTGACTTGAGGTTATTGGTTTTCATTATAGAAAATTTCCAGGTACAAACAATGAAAGTAAGTCATCTTAGTGGCTTATTAGGGGTTTCTAGGTCTGATAATTTTGTTCTAGTTGGTTTGTTTAGTGTTCTCTGTGGTGGGTGGTTTTTTTTGTTTGTTTGTTTGTTTGTTTTTAACGTGATTTGGCATGCGTGGGATACACATCCGTCATTAAGAAACCCAGGCACCCCTATTTACTGGAACATTTTAATGTAATTCTCAATTACTGATTCCCTCTCTCTCCCAAGAATAATAGGCTTGAATAAATCCGTGTTCTCAGTTTCCCAAAAGCTGTTAGGAAACCATCCAGCCTGATTTTAGTATGGAACACATTCAAAATTGTTGCTAGATGATTGCCTTGAAAAAAATAGGATCAATTAGAGTAGCATTTTCTAGCCAGGATGTCAACTCTCTTTGGTGCTATTATATATCTCAGGAGAAAGGGATATTTAAGATTAACTAGACTCAAAATAAGCACATTATCTCAGAGGTACAAAATTAGAGTCTACGTTCCCAAGCCAAGATTTTGGAAGGGATGGATCTATGGCCCTTTGTTATTCACAAACCACACAACTCAAGACACAAAATCTGCAGATAAGTTGTATTTAGACTGAATTTAACTGAAATGAGAGTTGTATGTAAATCCATAGCTAGGAAAATATACTATAATCTCCTGATTCTTTTTGGCAATGCTCAGTATAGTTACCTACAATCCTTTTCCAGAAGGATTTTCATCTTTGTTATTTAAGTAAAAGACCTAGATGGGGTACCTGAGTGGCTCAGTTGGTTGAGCATCCGACTGTTGATTTCAGCTCAGGTCATTATCCAAGAGTTGTGGGATCAAGCCCTATGTTGGGGTCCATGCTGAACACAGAGCCTGCTTGAAAGTCTCTCTCTCCCTCTGATCCTCCCCCCAGCTCACGCTCTTTTTCTCTAAAATAAATTAAAAAATTAAGTAAAAGACCAAGATTCTCAGGAAACATTGTTTATTAGCTTTCTTTAATTTTTTCTCTTTTTTTTCTTCTTGCTTTCTCTCCATTCCTCTTCCTCTACTTTTCTAATTCCCTTTATTTCTCCTTCTTTTTCTTAATCTTTTACTTTTTCCGCATATCTTTCTCACTCTTCTTCAGTTACCTTTCTCTGCTTACCTTCCCAGTGGTTATTTATTATCTTAGTTCTACACATAATAACCAATGCTTACCCACCATGGTTTCCCTTCCCTTTTCTACTGGCATGCAGTGTCTCCCTCCAAGACCCAATTCTGGAACTCATGGCATATCATAGAAGAGACATAATGGATCACTGAGTGAGAAATGTTAATAAATAATGGGTGAGGAGAAAGTTGGACACACAGGACACCACACCTGTGGTCCATTTTCACAGATTGATATTTGGAAATGATAAATCCATTTTCTTTTCTACTGGAAGGTATGCACCAAGAACAGAAAACTATTCTTAGGTGAGATACACATTGGATCTCACTGTGAGGTAATACCTAATATCAGTCATGAGGGGAATGGAATAAATGTAATTCTTTTTTTAATCTCCTCTTGCAGATATTGTGCTGGCACAATGCCCTGGGGGAACCCAGGAGATCACCATGATTTTGAACCTCAGCGTCATGATGATGGTTATATTGAAGTAATTGGATTCACTATGGCCTCTTTGGTGAGCAATACGATGTTATTGAAATGAAATACATTTCAGTCACAGAGTTTATTCATTCATAGATTTTTGGTTTTCAGTCTTCAATTTTCTCTCCTGCTTTACCAATTTATAAACTTTATGCAATACAGAATTGCTTGGGGAAAACAAGAACAAAAGAACAATTCTTTATGTCACTAAGGAAATTGTGCACAATTGTAAGGACTTCAATAATAAATATTATTTGCTAATTATCCTGGTGAATTTTCTATCAGAATGAAATACACAGCTTATGGAAATTAAAAAGCATTATGCCACAGACATATTCCAGCATTCATGCAGAAACCTTGCCATTGGATACCTTTTTGTTTCACTAAGGACTAGAGTGTTAAGGTAGAAAGGAAGGCAGTTATTTCCATTCATCTTTACCATCACAAAATACCTGAATAAAGAAAGACATCATTATTGTGACATTAATGAATATTCATTTGCTACAGTATTGTCATTACCTTTGCATTTTAATTTTGTTTACACACATCAAATTGTGAATTGTGGTGTAAGGGCAGTTTCCAGCAGGTTTTCGCTCTGTACTTTACCCTATTATTGAATGAGGAGGAAACCAGTTAAAAATTACACGTATCACCTTACGTGGTGTAAATCAGGCTGCACTATCAGTTTATAAAGTGAATTAAAAAATTTAAAGCTTCTTGCAGCCCATGGTTAGCACTTGGTTTGTGTTATGCCTGATGCCTGCCGGTAAGAAGGTTGTATCTCTTGTTCTAAACAAGCCAAAAGAGCTCTCTTTGTATCTCATCTTGTGGATTCCTACTGACTTTTCCTCAATCACTTCGGGTTGCTGAGATCTAACAGAATAGCCTCTAGTGGTTGTGGCAAGAATGCCCATCACCTGAGATGGTGATATTGCTCATTAAATCTGCCATCTCTGGGATGAAATGATTGTTAAGTGTGGAAGATTGGTCTGGATGGATCTAATTTTCAGGGTTTTAGCTCATACACAGCTCTTTCTCTCCAAAGGTCTTTATGCTAATTACAGGCAAAGAGATTCAGGCAAGAGTAAACATGGGAATCAATTCAAGGAGCATGTATGCAAGGTAGAATTCTTGGAGGTGACCAAAAAAACCTTAAACCTGGCCATGTGTGTTTCACTCATTCATTTATTTGTGGATTCAGTGAACATTTATTGAATGTTTACCAATGTGCCAGAGCTTCCTAGTCATGACTATGTGGCGGCAGAAGGCTGTCGGAGAATGTGTAAGAGAAGACGATTCTTCACATAGGCTTAGGAGGGCAGGAAGAATATTGGATATTTCCCCATCACTCTCAGAATCAAAGTCTAAATGTAGGCCTGCAAGATGGAGTTTCTCTAATTCTCCAGCCTTTCCCACCGCCCTCTTTGCTTTGTAGCTCAATTAGCCTCTCCAGTCAAGCTTAGCTTTGAACACCTCTTGTTGCTTTTGTACCACCGGGCCGTTGCATATGCCGTTTCTCTCTAAAATGTTCTTTAACTGTCCATCTTCTATAACTTCTCAGTCCATATCGATGCCAGATCATTCTTATAGTCTTATTTCGGTTATTTTTGTTTACAACTGTATCGTGCCTGGACAGGAGAGAGATAGCCGGCTGAGACTGGGTAATTAGAGGAGAGTTTATGGAGGGACTCTACAAATAGTGAACTTGATTTGTGAGAAGGAGCATTGGATGGTGTGGATTCCTGACCTGAAGGTGCAAAGGTAAGGAAGCAGTCAGCTGTACCCGAAGGACAACTATTTGGGAAGGACCACCTGATAGTGTTTGCTAGACAGAAGCAGTCAGCCAGTGCCAACCTGGCAGGCAGAGAGCTGGGCCCTAGATGCAGTGATCTTACTCTTCTTGGCCCTCTAGATCTTCTGCTGGTGCCTTCCTCTGGAGAAGTCTAACCAGAAGCTAGAGGACAAGGCAGCCACTGATACAGTATAAGTGGGTCAGGCTCATAAGGCAAGAAGGGCAGGAAAGGGTGGGGTGCCAGCCAGGAGTGGCAAGTGGCGGATATCCGTCACTCCAGTGTGTGTCTGCCACACGGCAGACAGCCTGAAACCCGGGGTTGGCATGAGCAAATGTGGCAGAGTGGATGAATTTTGCCGGGAGAAGAAGAGTGGGATCTGGAATTCTGTAGAAAGCTAAATTCATATACACTTGCAGGTATGAGGGATCCTAGTCCTCAAAATCATATATTGAACCCATCACCCAGCTTCTATAATGTTCAACTGATAGGCAGTCTTCTATCTGTCCCCACCTGCTTTGTACTAATGTGAGGCATATCTCAGATGTTACATCAGTTATTTGCAAATACTTCCGAAGGTGCTTTTAAAAGATAAGACTTTGTTTTATGAGCATGACTACACCCTTACATCTGAAAAATAAGAGAGTAGCATCTGACTATCACCGTTTACTGAGTGCTTAAATCTCCAGTTGCCTTGCAAATATCCTTTGTTTTCTTATGCTCTGTTAGTTTGAGCCAGGATCCAAGTTAAATTTAGTTGTTGTGATTGATTGATAGGACTCTTAAGTATCTATGGGTTTCTGTCCATCTCTTTATCTTCTTCATTTATTTATTGAAAAAAATAGTCTTTTGTCTTGTGAGGTTTCCTTGAGTCTGAATTGTGCTAATAACAATCTCTTAGGTCTCAATTAACATGTTATTCTGTCTTGCTGTTTCCTTTAAGTTGACAGTTGGATGTAGATGTACCACTTTCATCCCCCCCGCCCAACAAATCTACTTTGTGGTTAGTGTTTTCTTCTTCCAAAAGATGATAGGTAATACCTGCTTTTCCCTCTATTTTGGTTAATAGTCCTTGAGGGTCATTGTCTGGATCTAGCAATCATTGGAGGTTGGCAGAGTAGTGATATTCTAATTCTACCCTTCTTCATTCATTAACTGGAATATTTCTATAAAGAGTAATTTCACCTAATACTTGGTTATTTCGTTATATAGTTTGTGTAGGAAAAGCAGGATAACTGATTCTTTTTCTTTATTTATACACTTTCAAAATAAGTAATTTACTAGCATCTTCTGATGGTGGCTGGTTTTAAATGGATTCTGAGTTTTTGGACACTTACCCCATTACGAGTTTGGGTCTATGCACCATCCCCTGGAATCTGGGTGAGCTTACAAATACTTGGCAAATCAGGTACAGTGGAAGTAACACTAGGTAACTTGTGATGCTGGATCCTGAATGGCCATGCAGCATATGGGAAATACAGGCAATACTGATGCCTCTAATTAATAGGAATTTTATAAATTCTAGTAATATTTGTTATTAAAAATATCTCCCTGCTTTCATGCATTTAATGTCAGTCATAAGTATTTATTGAAAATTTATTGAACCCACAAATGCTTATTGAATTCACTCTGCTATGTGAAATGATTATGAAATGGGCCAAGAGACAAACCCTGTCCTCAGGGTACCCACAGTTCAGTGTTGTGGGGGGAACATGAAAAACAGAAGCAATTGCCATCTGGCATAATAAATTCTAGGAGAAAGGCACGTGTAAAGAGAAGAAGAAGAATTGAAAGCAGAACAGTGTTTATAAAATGGGAAAATCAGCAAAAATTGCACAGAGGAGGCAAGAGCATCTGTGGATGAGATTGTAAGCGTCCGTTCCATGCTAGATGAGCCTAAGAGCTTATCTTGGTATTCTAGAGCTCCCTGGTGGCTCAGTGATGACACATATGGTGAAGAAAGACATTGATGTGGAGAAAGATAGGACAGAAGGGTTTTGTTTCGTTTTTGGACCTGTTAAATGGGGGAGGTTGAGAGAGATGGAATGAGACAGAATCAGATTTGCGGTTTAGAAAGAATTCCTGGATGTCTTTGTGGAAGGGGACCAGAATCTCTACTGCTGGAGGCAGATAGACAAAGCAGGATGTTGGTACCTAAGTCCAGGTGAAGAAATGAGGAAGCCTAGAAGCCTGCTGTAAGAAAGTGGTAATGAAGATGGGGACGGAGGGGGATTGGCAACTTCAAGAGTTATTCAGACACCTTGACTTACTGTGAAGGGTGAAAAAGGAGTATGCGTGAATCCCGGCTGGGTAGCATAGGCCATTAGGTAAACAGTGACTACATTAGAGATGTAGGGAAAATAGAAGAAAGATAATATTACCAAAAAATGAATTGTGGTTTTTTTTTTAACTATATTTTGAAATTATATTTGAATTCCATTCTACTTAACGTACAGTGTTAAATTAGTTTCAGGTTTACAGAATAGTGATTTAACAGTTCTGTATATTACCAAGTGCTCACTTGTGTTTTATGTAAGTTTGAAACCCCTGTAAGACATTTAAGGAGATAGAGGCAATTTGAAATACATGTTTAGAGCTCAGAGGATCCCTCCAGGTTGTTAGAGAGGAGTCTATCAGATTTCTTTCTCTTCCATACCATCATTGGTAGGAAAAGGAGAAAAATAATAGTTGATGAGAGTTGGTGAAGAGCAAATGGAATGCTAAAATTATGTCCATTCTTTCTCTTTATACGATACGAGTCATGTAAAAATGGATACTAGGCTAGCATCAAATGTGTGTTTGGAGCTCAGATTCTAGTGACTTTAGATTGCTCCCAAGATTAAAAAAAAGTTCTACTTGAAAAAAAGCAGAGTTAAATGTAGTTTATACTGTACAGTTTTGAACACCCTATGCTCTCTAAAGAATATGGGCATATGTGTCTATTTTCAAACACATCTCACCTGACTGCTCATATAACAGTACACCATTGTTCAAGAAGAGAGAATCTAATTTTCAGGACTCTAGTTTCACATTTCTTGAAACTATTATACTGATTATGTTTCTAAGAACATAAATTATTTGAAAATTACATGTGTGTAAGATGATCGCATAAACAGAAGAGTGTGGTTATTTGGGTATATGTGTGTATTTTTGTGTATTTTAAAATATTCAGAGTGGCACTTGAATAGATGAGAGATTCAAATAGAATTACTAGATGGGAATAGATGTCGTTTCTTTTAGACTC